TCATACTCTATTCTCGGGAACTGGTATTCACTTTCTTAACGAAGGAAATGGAATCTCTTGTGAACAGTATGCCAAAGGTTACTGTCTATTAGCATTTGACTTAACTCCTGATTTATCAGCCAACTCATCAGCTCATTGGAATCTCATAAAGCATGGTAGTGTAAGATTAGAAGTACGATTTGAATCCTCACTAATACAAACAATTAACTGTATAGTTTATGCTGAGTTTGATAATATTATTGAGATAGATAAAAACAGAAATGTTACTGTAGACTATAGTAGTTAAGGTTATAATATGTGTTGTGTGTTAGATTTTATGAGTTATGTGTAATGCATTTTGTGTGTATGTAACTATGTGAAACGTTATAAAATTAAATAAAACAAAATGTATGCAATATATTATTTTTTATTTCTTTATAAATATTCTATTTAATCTAATACAAAACTCTGTTCGAGTTTAAATTTTACATAAGCACACTGACTAAACCACTGAACATGCTGCTGCCATGGATCATCATCATCTTCCCAATCTTTTAAACCACCACCACAATGGAAACACTTGGTCCTGTCTGCATGGCCAGTATAAAAGAAACCGGCTTCTGCAAGATCTTCAGGTTTCTGTCGCATAACGAGAGGCCAGTTTTCGAAACTGAGCAACCGGCTAGATTTTGAACTGAAGAATGAATATTCTGCTCTTGAGTACTGCATATTCTTCTCGTTTTCTTCTCCACTCAGTGTTGTAGTTTGGTTATTCAATGATGTGTTCTGTACACGTATGCTACACTCATCTCTTCCTTCTGCTCTTGTCTTCCTGTAATTTAAGTAAACAGAATCACATTCACTAATGATCAGATAATGACTGTCATTGTTAAAAAAGCATTTTTTAACTTTTTCACTTTCTTTTTAATGTTTTCTTTGTAATATTGTATACGAGGGCGTTTGTGTTGTCGTAGATGCTATCCTTATTAGTCTTTACGTAATATTTAATCCTCGTGGAAGCATGTTTCCAATGATCAGTAGTTGGAATCTTGGATAGCTTCTTCATATCGTACATTTCAATTTTGATGAGATGCGTCGCTTGGTCTCCGTCGTCAGAATTAGTAGAAATGTATGATACACCATCTCTAGCGGCTCGTGCTACGGTAGATGATAATAGCTTCCTCTTTTTTATTTTTGATTCAGCTTCAAAAAAATGATCAATCGATTGCGATTTTCTTTTTCCACCATCGCATGTGTTATTATTAATGACGATGTCATCACTCTCTTCTTGAGGGGAGAGTGGCGAGTAGTAATACTGTTTATAGGTATTTTCATCGAAGCTCAATGATTTCTGCAACAACACAGTTATCATGTTAATATCAATTTGTTAACACTTAATCATAAAAGTTAAAAAAGTTAAAGTTACAGCCTATTAAAGTCCACTGCTGAACATAGGCCTCCTCTCATTTCTGAGAGGGTTTTAGGGCTAGGAAATGTTCGCTGCGCTGTCTCAATGCGTGTTGGCAAACTTCACATGCCTTCGAAATTTTCTCAGACATGCAGGTTTCCTCACGATGTTTCATTCACCGGTGAGCACGTGGTAAATCAGCACTTAAAATTGCAATTAACATTTTAATTGGTGCCGGCGGGGATCGAACCCGGGTCGCGTACTGTGAAATTTACATTTTGCGCTAACCATCTGAGCTACCACGGCTTAATCATATACACACACAATAGCTAAATATAATTTGTTAACACTAAATCATACACACGTAAGAAAATAACAGAAAGAAAAGTAAGTTTGTCAATAGAATAAATACTTACATCTATGGCCTTTGAAGCGTTGAAGTAACACAAATGTAGTATTGATAGATCCACTGCGGTCAAACGACCATACACTAACTCAATGACTGCAGTTGCTTGGTCTTATATAGTACCAGTGAGTGATAATTCTAATCTAAAGAATTTCTGCAGTGGAATTATATAACTTTATGCGTCAACAAGCTTATCTCACATTCTGTTGCTTATCTCAACATTCCTTCGTCCTTCGTGTCGTGTCTTGTTCAGTGTATTGATGACTCAAATACGTTTTGTATAACACAAAGAATGCAATTTAATATTTAGAAATCACTGTAATTGATCATTCCTATGTTAGTCATTGAGTAGATTGGTACTGTAATAATCTACTAATAGCAGTAATATCATGGATACACTTTATGTACGACAACATCTGAAAAAGATTCACCCCACTCTAGAAAATAATGGTTATGCTGCCAATAAACTGCCCATGTTCACCCACGTACCAACGTATATAATATGCAATTTGGATACAGATGATAAGCCAGGGTCACATTGGGTAGCTTTATATATCGATACGAATGACGTCGGTCAATATTTTGATTCATTCGGACTGGCACCTGTACGATATCATCTAGAGTTTTTAAAAAGAAATTTTAAAAGATGGAACTGGTATGTTGATAGGATTTAGAATGAGTGGACTTCAGTTTGTGGCGAATATTGCTTAATGTATTTGCTATATAAGTTTCAGGGATGTTCAATGCATAGTTTTACGAGTATATTTACAGGGAACACATTGTACAACGATATTTTAGTGGATGAGATGTTTCGCTCTTATTTTATAGATAATAAGTAATAAGATTTTGTATTTTGTAAATAAAAATTTTAACAAAATTAGGTTATGTGTTTTATTGATGAGTCAGATTAGTGTAGATAGGAACAAAGGAGTATAATACAATAGCACTACGCTGAGGAAGAATAGATAATAACGGTATTCAATGAACAATAGATAAGTAGATAAGAAAAATGGGGCTCTAATGACGGTCGAGGCACGCACAGGATATCAATTAGATAAAAGTTAATTGATCTGCACATCTCCGGAACCGTGCATCCTACGCAAAAATGAACGCGTTGTGATCAGAGCATGCCAAAACCTTTTTTTTTTTTAGGATCGTGAGTCGACGAACGTCGTACTTGTACCACTTCTGACTCAGTGAGCCAGAACTGGTACAACGTAACTACTCGCGTGATCCCCGCGAAAACCATCCACATTCACGTTCCCGCCTGCGTTTTCATAATACGTAAGCAATCCGGGTTCGAATTTGATCCCCACCGGCACCAACGAAATTGTTAATTGCATTTTTAAATGCTGATTTGCTACTTGCTCGTCAGTGTAGGAATTCATCGTGAGGAAACCTACGTGTTTAAGAAGAAAATATTTCGAGGATATTAGGTGAGCTGAAAAGTTCGTAACGTTTCTACGCTTAGGCGTCATTAGAATAAAATCCATATCATTTCTAGTTAGTATCAACCTTCAAAAGAAACGTGTGTAATTTGACAGCTGTTTGATTATTAGTTTGTGAGATATACCTAAGCATTTTGAGTGATGCAACTTTTGTTATTTTGAAAAACAAAAATGGATAAAAATGAATTTCGTGTGTTAATGAAAGACTATTTTTTGATGAAAAAAAGTGATGATATCAAAAAGTGGCTTGATTAGTGTTATCCGGATCTGTGCTGGGCGAAACAATCATTCGTAAGTGGTTTGCTAAATTCCGTACCAACTAACGGTACTAATATGGCCTATATGAGCACCAAAGTTGATGAACGCAGTGTATGTCCAAAAAAATCCACAAAATGATTTTGGAAGATCGTAAATTGAGGTTGATTTGTATAGTTGACACTCTAAAGATATCAAAGGAACGTGTTGGACATATCGTTAATGAATATTTGGGTATGCGAAAGCTATGTGCAAAGTGGGTGCCGCGCGAGCTCACAATCGACCAAAAACAGGAACGTTTCGATGCTTCAGAGCAATGTTTGAAACTGCAATAGAAGTGAATTTTTGCGTCGATATGTGACAATCGATGAAACATGGATCCACCACTACACTCCGGAGTCCAGTCGGCAGTCATCTGAGTGGACTGCAGCGATGAACATATTCCAAAGCGTGATAAAACCCAACAGTCGACTGGTAAGGTTATGGCGTCCGTATTTTGCGATGCACATGGAATAATTTTAATCTACTATCTTTGAAAGGAAAAAACCATCAACAGCGACTATTAGATAGTGCTATTGGAGCATTTGAAGGACGAAATCGCGAAAAAACGGCCCCATTTGCAGAAGAAGAAAGTGTTGTTGCATCAAGACAATGTGCCGTGTCACAAATCGATGAAAACGATATCAAAACTGTATGAATTGAGCTACGAATGGCTTCCGCATCCACCGTATTCTCCAGATTTGGCCCCCAGCGACTTTTCTTTAAGAAATTTAAAGCCAACGAGGAAGTAATCACCGAAACAGAGGCCTATTTTGAGGTTAAACACAAATCGTACTACAAAAATGGTATTGAAAGTTGAAAGATCGCTATAATCGGTGTCTCGCCCTCGATGGCAAATATGTTGAATAATAAAATCGAATTTTGCCAAAAAAATGTGTTTTTCTATAAAATGATATGAATACGTTGAGTGTTTATGCATTTCCCGCCTGGTTGTATTTCTGCCACTTCACCAGTAGCACGGTAACGTGACCATTACCTTGATATCACGTTTTGTTTTGTTTTAATCTTCTCAGCAATAATCCATTAAGTAGGCATTATGCAGTATCCGTTAAGTATAGAGCAGTAGGCGTGCCCCAGCTTGGAGCATGCTAACTGCACTTAACATTTCCTCTCTCGTTAAGTGGCACCACTGCATGATGCATACAGTGGCATAAATTTGAAATTAACTGCTAATTTGTTTTAAAACATTAATTTTACACCATAAGTTTTCAAAAAGCTATGGTAGGTAAATTGAAACCTTTGAACTTCGCTAAAGTTATGCCGCGCAAATCTTTTGTTTTTAAATTCAAAGCGATCATCCAAAAAGGCCTACAAAATATTTTAAAACCAGAAAATATCCCTAGATGGTGTTGACGTGTATATAAAGGCTGAAATTTAACTTAACAAATAAATATGAATAACATAAATGTATTTAAGTATGTACTTGCACTATTTCCGTTTTCAGGTAATACTTCTAACTGCCATGGACTCACTAGCAACATTTGAGGTGACAATAGGATCAATATCAGTCATGCTATCTTTGCTAGCTATTCCTATATTTCTGATCTTCTACTTCGTATTCAGGTGCAGAGTAAGGGTAAGTTTACTTCTTTGTTTGTGCATATTCCATTCCATTACATCCTATAACAGTCCACTGCCGAACATAAGCCTCCCTCAATGATTACCTCACACCTGATTTTTCCATAGTTGCCACTCTTGGCAACCGCAGTTTAGTTATTATTTTGAGTAGCTAAGATGTTGCTGCGTATCTCCTATTTCATTTTCCCTTTGTCGCTTCTTACGACATCCTCGGGACGATAATGGAGTAGTGGATATGCTTACACTCCCCACTACACGGTTGGTGCATAATATATTGGTATTTTAATTAAAAAGTCAAAAATACGATTCGTCTGGTATTGCAATTGTCAATCCACTTGTAGATTGACAATTGCAATACACACTCTTTACACAGGCCGTGCCAATATTTCTCGGGAAAACGTCTCCGAGTACCGGGACAAACTTGTGTCTGAAGTCGAGTCTTTGCTGAACAGAGTCTCGGATTGGGTGCCACTAAATCTAGTCCAGTTTAACCCCCAGAAGACACAAGTTTGCGCGTTAACCGCTAAAAAGAACTCCTTTGTCGTATCTCCTCAGTTTCAAGGCACTCCCCTTGTTGCCTCAGCCAGTATTGGAATCCTCGGCGTCGACATATCGAGTGACGTGCAGTTTCGTGGTCACTTGGAAGAGAAGGCCAAATTGGCCTCTAAAAAGATTGGCAGAGCGGGACAGTATATCATGCCGGCACACCGCCTGCAACTTTAGAAGGCGCAGGTTCGGCCGCACATGGAATACTGTTCCCATCTCTGGGCTGGGGCTCCCCAGTACCAGCTCCTTCCATTTGACCGCATCCAGCGCAGATGTACCATGCGGAGTGCTCTGAGGTCTGAGGAATTGTTCGGATTAATCCCAGCCGCCAAATTTCGTGAACGCACTACGCGGCAAACGTCCCGATACCATCCATACCATCTGGATGCTTGGCCGTCCACCACTGTACGTTTCAAAAGGAGAGTTCTTCCGCGTACAACCTCTCTGTGGAATAGTTTACCACCGGCGATTTTTCCGGACCAATACGACCTGGGGACCTTCAAGAAAAGAGCTTACATCTTTCTAAAGGGCTGGCAACGCACCTGCAATTCCCCTGGTGTTGCGGTTGATCATGGGCGACGGTAGTCACTTAACATCAGGTGAGCCGCATGCTCGTTTGCCCCCTCTTCTATAAAAAAAAGATAGATACCGTTGTTCTCAAATTTCAAAAATTCTTATTGGCATTGTTTATTCTAGTGTTCCTTTTTGTTTCAGAACATCGTGGATAATGAGAAATAATTTAATAGCTACATCTTAGATTTATATTTTAATAAATATTATACACTTCAATCTTATTTTTATTGATATCTTGTTAAATTTGATTGCAATATAATTTAATACAGTGTCTTAGCTTTGACACTATGATATTACAATACATTGCGCTCTCGTGTTGTGGCCATGTAAGGAAATCCATCACCGCATTTCGTCTTGAAGTGTAAGAACTATGATAAAAAGAAAGGTTTACCTCATAGACTTCGGTAGATGGAGGAAACGGAGGAGGGAATACTATCTCGTATATGCAGATATAAAATATCTAGACCGTTGACTGGAATCGGCGTCAGACCTTACATATAAGTTTTATGTCTGCCGCCTAGATCCTGTTAAGTGTATGTAGAACGGCCCGTTGCATTCTACTCCAGTGCCTGGTTCTCAGGTAGAAGGCAATAGCGACTCTTCCACGAACCCTCTCACATCCAGACTTGATAAAGGCAATGGTCGGAAGCGAAAGGCCCTCCTTCACCTGCAACAAGGGTGCGATCAAAGATGTTTTATAGGTCCAGATATCGTGTTGCTAACACACCGTACCGTTCATAGCGGCGCGTGACTTGATAATAATGCGAATCGATTACCCAAAAATGTGGGAGATTTTATGTTTAATTTGTGTGCGTGTGTGTATGGGGATATGGTAATATAATACTGAAGATGAGAAATAAAAATAAATAAAAGGCACAGTAGATATTTATGTAGATACATATCTTTATAGTAATGTTGAAGTCTTAATATTTACTTGTCTTCATTTTGGGTTAAAATGCAATTATATGTTAGTCCTAACTCACGCAACAGCAGGCACGCGCACAATCACTCATACACACACACACACACACACACACACACACACACACACACACACACACAGCACGCGCGCACGCACGCAGGCACGCACGCGCACACACACGCACACACACACACACACACACACACACACACACACACACACACACACCTACTACACTCTTCTTAGTACACACACATATATTGATGTGAAATTTGTAATTACTGCAGTTCATTTTGTTTACTTAATTATAATCTCCGTTCTGATTTGTATTTCTGAGACTGTTGCTTTGTACGCGGGGGAGCCCTGGTGACCTGTAATACAGGTTTTTTTACCTACATCAGGCACCAGTCTCTCACAACTTAGGTACCAGTCTGGCACTTTTGTAATACTTACCACTAAGAATACCTATTGTGAAGAGAGAATAAATGCATTCATTCATTCATTCATATCTCTCTTTCTCGCTCTAGTAAATGACGGTTCTGTGTGACCAAAAAGGATAGAAGCACAGGGAAGTTCGATTCCGTACTGCCAGATGTAATTCAACCCTAAGCCTTAAAACGGTTCAACTCTATAGGCTGGTTAAAACCTGTAAAATTAAACCGTTTAAAACCCCTATACGGATAACTTTTCCGGTTGATAGTGACATTAAAAAACGGTAAAAGCTTTTCATAGGCTAGGCAACACTCGAATATTATTGTGCACTATTATTACTTCTATTGACATTTAGCTTTCGTATTGTTTTACAACGAAATGTAATAAGAAAAAGGGAGTAAGGGTCCCTAATTAGAGCATCAGTGATCATCTCTAGTATATACACTGTAATCTATGCGTAATGGGGTAACGATCGAACGAATACACCAGTATTGGCGCCTTTTAATTGGAAGCGTTTTAGGCACGCATACACGGTGGTATCTGGACCTATAAATCATCTTTGGGTGCGATGCAGTTCAGTAGAAATCGAGGGAGTGAGTTTAGAGTATTTTGCGCCGTATACTTTTCGCTATCACAACGGGGTTCGACCATTTCCGGTTATATAGATATGTACTCACTGAAGCACCTTCACTAACCGTATTAGTAGCCGGTAAGTGGCTCATGCCACCTGTTCTTCCAGGCTGACTCGACCGGACAAACGGCCTACAGTCCTGCTTCATGTTCCTAGAGCGGGTCAGTCATTTATTTATTTTGCAACACAAGCTGCAGTGTATGGAACCTCCGCATTGACCATTCCTTGGTCAGAGGATGATTCTCCCAGTCGGCGGTGGAGAACCGCGCCAACACATGTGACATAATATCCGTATCACTCTTAAAGGTCATTGTGCATTCGCTTGTCAGGGTCAGCTATGCAAGGATAATGAATTAATGGAAAGAAGTATATGTATGTAAGTTGAAAAATGAAAACAATATCTAATTTCAGAATGATACCATTTTATTCACAAATTTTCATAACACCAATTTGTTACCAAAATAAAGGATTATTTTTTTCTATTTAGTCATACACACATATTAACAACATAGAGGTAGCCACAACAGACAAGCGTTTGCCTATTTTGTAGCTAATTATACGATTTTTCATATTATACCTTAACTCCCAACTTTTACGAACATTAGGGAGTATTTTTTACAATATTTTCCAAATAGTTGAAAATTAAAAACATTATAAGCTTTACCTCTTAAGGGAAAACTCCTTTTTAATACAGCCTTGGATCTTATCACTAAAATTAATAGTAACTTAAATTAGAACTTCTCATATAAAAATAATAATAGTTAATGATAAGCACATTACATACATTATTAAAATCTAAGTAAATAGACCGATTAAGATTTCATTGTTATTGTTTCTTTTACCCAGTTTTTTTTTATATAAATCTATTGCACATTTATTAACAATTTTTCGTATATATATTACTTAAAATTTGCAAATGTTATATTGATGATAACATAAAATCATGTTACTTCTTAAATGAAATACCGACTGCGCTTAACATGTCATAAAAATTTATACGGAGGACTAGATGTATTTCTATAATACATTCGAATACTCATAAATCATTTTCGTAATTTAGAAAACGATAATGATTTTTCGGCAGAAAATATAAACAATTCTATAACCATATTTACCCTTTCGCATGAGCTCCTTATTATGTAATTCATTCTTTATTTGAAGGGCGAGATACCTTGTTCAGATAACGTTCTTATATCTCGTGCGAAAAAAATTGTGCGTCACACACGGTAGACTAGTTATCCTGTCCAATAAACACGTAGTCAGTCAAACTCTATAAAAAAAGAAAGCAATATCGCCATAATATTTACATATCAGTTACAATTTGTTATTTTAAGAACAAGCACCCAGGTCTTTGTATTACATAACCTGATGGGTGCCGTAAGGCGAACTGGTCGGTTTTTATAGATAATATAAAATAAATATCAGTGAAACAAGTACTCACTCAAATGTATGTCACTCCAAATTACAAAAAAAAAAAATCCTGTTTCGTTAGACAAGTTTGCGTACTAATTGAAGGCACAACCTCGAAGGATTTCAAACTTCAAATTTATTATTTTGGTTATACTCTATATTGTGAATGGGAAACATGCATGATCAGAAATTATCAAAATATTGATTTTTAAAATTTAAGTTAACACATTCATTTTACTTTGGACAAAAAACTAAACTAAAATAAAAACTTTTAAAGAGAATTAAAACAAGTAACGCACTAGGTATAAACTATTATAACTACTAAGCTATGAATTATGTAGTCGTTTACATTTTTCTTTCACGCGTTATTTCAACAAAATCAGATAGATACCTAGCGGATTTTGTTGAGGTGAAATACTTTGACAGATTTTTTAAACTCAGAGAAAGGGTAAATTTCGTAAGTATCAATTTGCATTTATTACTTGTGCAAAAATGTAATAATCAAAGTCGGATAGCTATTTATAATTTGCTTACGATAAATAAACACTTATTCGTTATTAAGGTGTTTTGTTTCATTCTCAAATTGATTTTCATATTTTTAGACCATTTAAAATACAATAATAAATAATAAAATAACTAATATAGAAATTTCGAGTGGCATAATGATTAAAACTCTCTCGTGCAGAGTGAATGATACATTATCGTTGTAGCATATAAGTTAAAAAATGTAGTCATTAATGAATATAGGATAAGGCCTTCGAGTACATTTAAAAATAAGATATTCTTGTTAAAGCTGGCAATTTTTAATATTCATGGACATAAAAAATTACGACATAAAAAGTTGCACTCTGAAACAAGTTACAAATTTATCATTTTGATCATATAACTAAAAATTACAATAAAATATCCTCAGGAACGTTCATTAATCAATAAAACTATTCTACATTTTTACTATCTTAAAATGTGACATCCCATTTAGCTTTCAGAAACCTAGATCTAAATCGGATATAAACGTAATTTACCTTAAACGACGTGTCTAAATATAAATAATTCTATATTAAAAGTTGTATAAAACAGCTAACAGTCATTTATAACAGTGGAAAGTCCGTATTTATGTCACAGCCAACTGCGATAGGATCATTCAGTGATTATAAATGTCAGTGTTAGCTAGGTGAAGGCAGTATACCACAAGCAACTCTGATGAAGCAAATATGTAGTTTCCAATAGCGATGCCAATGTTATTAGATAGGACAATCAAAAACTGTTTCTATTCTACCATTTCTACCATGGTCTGAGATCGCAAATTTAAAGAAACAATAACACTTTACTCAAATTGGAATGAACACCAATACAGAACAGTCGTCGCAAAAACATATTGTGTTTTTAATCCTTTTTACCTCTCTCAGAAACGAAAGGAGGCCAGTGCCCAGCAATGGTAGGTAAAAATGCTTTAATATTGTATAAAACTCTCTGTGAATTATAAAAAATGAAAAGAAAAATAAGGATATCAGATAATTTAAATGCAATCCCGATTAGCTTATTTGTAACATTGATAAAGTATTTTAGCTCTTCTTGTTACACTTTTGCTTCAACAGATCGTGAGATGTTATGTATCTTTTAAGAATAACAGTTATCAGTACCATATCGAAATAAATAACCAAAACGGGCAACTTAAAGGCAGCACTTGTTAAAAAAGAAAATTTTGTCCTAAATGTGCAGTTTCTAATCATATTACAAAAACAGTCATTCGGGAACCCTGCGTTCAGTCTTGCGCATGTCAGGAAATTTTGTTGAACAAGAAAATCTAAACCTACACAAATTGTAATGTGTATAACCGGTGAAAACAAAAGAAAATTACTACTTATTGCTGTAGTGCTCTATATATATACTTTTATAAATTCGTATTATATTTTTATGGATTTTCTAAATTTATATTTTATAATCTGTAACCAACAAGTTATAACTAGTTAGAAAATGTTCGATATAATTTTAATAGTCATGACGCAATATCGCAAATATACGGTACGAGTTGATTGAAACTAAATTCAAATTTGCAAACAAAATAAATTTTAATTTTGTTATTTGACAAAAAAATCAAATTATAGCATCGGATCGGTATTAACAACAATCAATACTGGATTTAGAGGTAGCTTACGTTGTGATTTTTTTTTGATTATTTTATATCGTTATATATAAAAAATTGTAGTGTTGTTACAAAACCTTTTCAGAAGAGCGAATGCTTATATCCAAGCATCGGAACGTATGTAGGCTGTTTCTTTACTTGTTGCTGTTAAAAACATAAAGCACACATTTACCAGCGAGCGGCATTGCGTCATGGCATAATTATTATATTCTAACAGAGCTTACCCGTTGTCCTCGGTGACCGCGGAAAACGACAAATCGCGACCAACACGACACTTGTCCACTGTATTGACACTAGATACGTGTCATTCATTTCTAGTGACCAGATTATACTATTGATTCGTCTTACGAACCGGGTCATTCGGGTAGATCATTCAATTGATCACTTATTTTCAGTACTCTAAGACCCGCTCAATAATGTCGGTCGTCGAACATTACCATTTACTAAACATACTCTTTGGTCATAGGTCCTTCCAACCATTTGCACCGAAACGTTTAAAAAAGTAATTGCAATTATCAATACTTTGATGCGTTCGGAATGACCGAATCATTCACGATTGACACATCTAATTAACTTCATCATTGCTAACTAATCCATGCGACGTTGGAAATGTAGGCATTCTTTATATTTTAACATTGATTCGTTTTGCTGTTTTCATCGTTCACCTAGGGCAACGCCTTACCAAATAGCTGCTTAACGCTATATCGCTGTGCGAAAAAGCCTAATGTAATATTAACACGCTAATAATAGCACGACAATAAACCGCTATTTATTGTAAAAGTTTGGTGTGAATTATAACCTACTGATTGGCGTCATATAGTTTTAATGCCAGTGGTACATATCCTATCTACGTTATTAGCTACCCATTATCCAAACAAAAAAAAAAACAACAACCAAGTTATAAAATAAAAAAGCTTAGGAGTTAACCACAAAAATAAAATCAGCTGAAGAATAAAACTAAATCTATTTCACATTGTTACATAGTTTTAAATTGACTAATGCTTAGTTATTTATAGATAATGGACTCAACCAGTGTTTATTAAATTAAACACTTAAGTAGAAAAGCTCTATAAAGCAGCAATTTTGAAGAATATACTATTTATCTAATTTAATTATTTAAGATTAATTTCAAATTTAGCAAAACATTTGCATTTAATTAAGGCATTGATATAATGCTTCTAGGGGAGAGAAATTTACATCCATCATGTGATTTATATCCAAACAACATTAAGGTGAGATCAGACAATTCATAATCAATATTTGATAAGTAAATGAATAAAAGATAGATCAACTATGCTTTTGTATATAACTAGCCATTTTATAAACGAATATACAATAGCTTAATGTAGAATTTAGTATATCCAACAGCATTGTTATCAACCGTACGTATTTTCGACTTCCACAATCACATATCAATTCCAACATAAAAAAGGTTTCGAGTCGTCTTTCAATAATATTAAAAACAGACACCCTATGTTCAACACACCATAATATAATCTATTTATATTTAACACTTACATAGTTATAACAATATTATACAATGAATATTACTAAACAATTCATAGTAATCGTCCACAGCATATCACATAGCAAAGGGCACATTACAATCATTGCCTAGCGTCCAGTCCGTCAGAGCACCGATTTACGCGAACAGCGTGTTGACCGGTGTTGTGCATTAGATGTGGGCAATTCTAAAAATCATTTTCAACAGTATTTTGAAAGTGGCAAGTTTAAAAAGCTTTAGACAAATAAATAACAGAGAATTTTAGTGACCTAATGCCAGAGATGATGAGCGATGCATTTTACAATATCGTACATGTCATTATCACACAAAATAACCATATTAGTTATAATAATTTTGCCCAGTGTCTAGTATTTAAGGCCTGTGTTCCGAAATAGAACACAGTATAACGGCGAATGCAAATGACGTCATTAATTGACGCTATATTGTACTGGCATGCCACCGCCATATTGTGTCGAATATCCCGTAATATTAAAACAATTTTTAATTGTGTGTACGCTGAATGAAACATGCCAGAACTTGTTTTTATTTATTCAAATACAAAAAATGGCAGAGCTTAAACAGTTAAATCAGTACGATGAAGAGAATGAGAAATCACACTCATTCTTTGATACTGAAGAAGAGTGGTCAAGAGCAGGTATGTCATATAGTCATATAAGATTATGGCCAATGTTTTGAAACAAATCATCATTCAGTATGGCGTCGATTTATGACGTCATTTGCATTGGCCGCCAGTATACTGGGTTCTATTTCGGAACAGAGGCAAGTCATTGGGTGCGTTTAGCAGAAAAAAGCGCTAGCAAGCGCTTATAAGCGCTAAAATAGTTTTCGGCCAGGACACGATTGCTACTTCAGTAGCGCTGACACAATCCGCCATTTTGCTTATTTAATTTGTTTGTTTTGAAGTAGAGTTTATAAGTTGTTTTGTGCAATATTAGTTTTAAGTAATATATGACATGAATAAACATATACATGCTATTAAAAACTCATGATTGGTAATTTTTTAATATGAATACTTTACAAACATATATTTAAATTAGGTTAGATTCCTCGGTTAAAACTAACATCGTGTCCTGGAGGAAAATAGCTATTTACGATTTGACAGCGCTTACCGCTTACGATCGCCATTTTGCTTACAAGCGCTTGGAAGCGCTTTTTTCTGCCAAACGCACCCATTTTGTGATATCTGGTTTTTAAATCAGCGCCACCTAGCGGGTTTAACCATGCCTATAACCGTCGCGAAAGTGCAAGCAATATGGTGACAAAGTTTTATTGCAATCTGACGACAGTGCATAAACGTCGTGACAATACGAACAAACAAATATTAATTTTTACATATTAGATTAATTTTTAGTTTCTTAGTATAATAAATAAGGCGGCTGTTATATATTCTCATAAGAATATAATATGTAGATTACTGCTTTGGTTATCACTTATAATCGCCCACATCTATTGCACGTAGATTAAATCACAAAATACTTAAACAAAACATGCATGCTAACTCGAGTACATAACAAAAAGCAAATTCAAACATGCATATTACTGCAAATCAATTCGGTCAGGATATACTTATCCCATTTTTGACTATCGCATCAATACTTGTATGTAATTACTTACAAATTTGAATGTTACATACAATTATTTATATACTGAGAAGTACAATAATGCTATATCGGAACACATGTTGTTTCGCAAAATGCACTCCGGAATTTAATAATTTCCCATATCAAAACAATATCAGAACTTTGTACTTTCCAACGGTTCTACCATTTTTTTATTAAGACTGATGTTATTAATTTATATATTATCAATACAAAGTTACATATTACTATGGTACATTTTTTAAATTATTTATAGCACAATTCCATATTGTCCAAACTTAGTATCTAATAATGGAGGAGTTGCAACAATTAAATAAGTGACAAGAGGATTTTTTTTAAATACCTAACCGATTAAAATGTTATGAAATTTTACACTTGATAAAAATTTTGAGTTCCAACAATTTTGGTCAACTCCTTTTACATATTTAAGTTACAATCTCGAACATGATAAGTTTAACAAACAATTGATGATTAGAATGACTAACATTTTGATCAAATATACTTATCTGTCTCCGGCTTATTTTCGCGTAATAAAAAAGGTGTGAACATTTTATATACAGTATAAATATATTTACAGATATGAAAAAACCTAAACATAAATAACTATTTTAAGTATAATGTACATCTATGATACAAAAAGAAATTAAGGGAAAACTAAATAAACCTAGTTAGATATGAAAATCATGGAACAAAAACAGTTCCCAGTATTTGTAATCACAATAGATAGCGAAAAAGAAAACACAGCAACAATTCACTCAATTAAATTAATTTGAGGCTTTAATATAGTGTACTTAACTACTTAAACATAATGAGACAATTTCGTTGTGCTGTAAACTAGTCTGCTGATAGGCACATGAGTCTTGTTTATTTACAGATATAAATATAAATTCAAATCATTTTCTATCACTGTTCTCACTGGTATAACACTTAAATTTTTAGTTTGCATCAAACACTTTTCAAGAGTTCATTCTGGTTTTGCAGTGGCTCTGTGGGGAGGCAGCATATCATGCCGTCGGTACATGAGCAAGTATGGCATTCTAGGAGGCTTAGGCTTTAACACCTGAGTATCTGTAACTTGAGTCACCGTGGAATCATCATACCTGTGAAAAAATAATGCGTTTTACAAAAAATGTTAATGTAAAATAATCTATTGTTGATTATGGCATGTTTTACTCAGTTAAAAGTGTCTACATGGAGGTGATTTGAAATCACTTTCAGAGACGAAAAATAAGTACCATCATTGTAAAATATAAACATATGCAATAAAACAACAATATGACTTCTACAATAGTAGTTCATAAAAAATTTTTGTGTTGAGAGGGGGAGCAAGAGTCCTGTGTTTCATTTCGTCTGAAACTGTCTCAAGAAGATGATAATTGAAATAATAAGTGTATTCACAAAGATGTCGTATAGTGTGAAGCATAGCATAACTTCATATTTTAACAATTGTTTTTTAAAGTTCAAAAACTTTATTAAACTAAGTTTGTATAAAAAGGGTTATTATAATATTAAGGAAATTATAGATGATAATAACCCCTGGGAAGGGTAATCGCTACCAAGCTATTTCTAATTTGTCCTGTGTTGTTTAATTGTAAACATGATTGTAAACTATAATTTCAAGGAAAAAAAAATAGTCCCGCTGGGTAGAAATTATTTTTGAAGGTACTCAAAAATTACACGCTAGAAAGCGTGTAATTTTTGAGTACTTTCAAAAAATAATTTTGTGTCCAGGGAGTTTCGGGGGCAATAAATCGATCTAGCTAGGATTCATTTTTAGAAAATGTCATTTTGTCCGTGTTTTCAGACAATGAAAAACTGCTTCAATATAAGAAGTTAAATTTTGACAACGTATTAATGTTTATAATAGCTCAAATGGGATATCGTGCGGTTCTGAGATCGTAGTACCCCAGTTCGAGTCCTGTCTTCGATCCGACCTTTTTTTTCTTTTTTTAAATTTCCCGTCTTTTGTGGGAAAATCTATTATTTCGAGCTATTATTTTAGTATTTTTTTAAAAACACGAAAATTTAAATTAAACTAACTGCACGCATGATGTTTTAATTAAATAACCAGTTCAGTTTTTCTATTATGTCGGTAAGATCAAAACATATTACTCATATTTCATATGTATGTAATTTGTATCTAAACATAATTTCCAAAACACACGATTTACAAAAAAAAAAAAAAAAATACCGAGCAAAGCTCGGTTATCCAGGTACTATACTATAATACTGATAATACCTATTCAATAAAAATAATGATTAGTACATACCTTATCCAGCCAACCTGTCCATGGTAAGTATCAGTGACATAGTGACCCTTCACAGCTTCTACTCCTTCGTGATATACAACCGCAAACAACTTATAAAGGCGTTGCTTTTGAGTATATTTTAACTTCGTCGACATTATCTCTGTAAGAAATAGCTTAAATCAGTACCTAAGTCATACTTTCATATCATTTTATGTTATGTTTAAGTATACTCAGTCATCATTCTCCACACTGTTATGATAATCTTTATCACATTCAGAGACGAAAAATAAGTTCCATCATTGTAAATAATAAAATGATGATGGCAACAGACTACAAGACCAATAGGTCTCATTATATACTTGGGAATTTGGATCTTCTGAATTGAAATAGCAGTCATTCTTTGACTTACTTTTTTATGTTAAGTCTACATTGATTAAATAGAAAATAATTATTAATAAAAAAGATTCAACACATACTTGGGTCTATCTTCAGGTCTATTGGAAAATCTATATTCTTGACAATCTTTGCAGTATGACCTTCGGAGTCAAGTTGGAAGCACTTGAGGTGTAAAAGGAGCACCACTGGCAGTTCTTCAATGGACAGTTGCTGCCAGGCATCAGACACGCCTTCCAATGTGTCTTTTCCAGCCAGAAGTTCCAAGGCATCTTTGACGGTGTTAGAACGCTGGATGGAAAAATAAACAATTAAAATAAAGATATTTTTCCGAATTATTAAAAAGCTAGCAAAAAATTTTTAGAAATATAAAATAAATGTTATTCAATTTGTATATTTTTAAGTCCACTGCTGAACATAGAGTTTCGCAAGTGGGTTGGCAACTGCAGATTTAGTCATTATTAGGTACATGCTGCTACCAATAACCTGATTTGTTTCCCTCTGTCGCCTCTTACGACATCCACAAGTTGAGACTTGAGAGGATTCTGTAAGACACAAGGACAAATTACATTCAAGTTGTTTCCTATTTCCATTAGTCTGTTCGGAAATAGAACAATAGTGGTGGAAAAATTACCATTACGCTTTATGGCGTGGTGAATATTCTTACACTGCCACTACATGGTAATTTCACGTTAAATTCAATTTGTACTTTTTTTTACAAATTGAATATTTTTTCATGAAAAACAAATCATAACCCTCTTTTTTGGGCAGTCTGCAGGCCTATTCAATAACTTTATTGATATAAAAATAACTTTGCTATAAGACATAAACATTATAGTTAGAGCCAGCTTATATCAGACAACACATACTTTATATAAATCTTATATTTCGTCCAGTGAGTCTGTTATACCCACGAAGACATGAGAACTAGCTAAGCCCGGCCGCGGTAGCTTCGGGGTCATTCAGGTGTGACAAGTATATAAATTGGGTAAAGTATTTTTTTTTTCAAAAGTATTTTAACAGGTCGGTCGTTTTGATATTTCATTACGTAACTCTACTGTAATAGGAAAATAATTATGACGGGCAATAATAACAGTTCTGACGTAACAGCCGCCATTTTAGAATATTTCAAAAAAAAATTAATTTCAAAAGTATTTTTTAAAAATCTGAAATTTATATATTTTATTAAACTACTCTAAACTTATTTTAGCTAGTAGTTCACCAAGTTGTTTGTAAATTTTAGTGGCATCAATTAACCTTTAATTTTTAACTGTCCCAGTTAGCATCCATGTGTGAGAGAAAAGATTTTTCAAATGAACCATATTACCAAGCATTATTATTAAAATATCAGTGTCCGAACCTCAACAATATTGGACTGGTCAGCGATGCTACAGGCGTTGTAACTAATCTTACTGTCTGCTTCTTCATGTAAAACTTACAGCACGAATGGGCTTTCTCGAATAAAAAAAACGTTTGTTGTTAAAATACTTTTGAAATTCATTTTTTTTTGAGTATTAAATATGGCTGCCGTGGCGTCAGAACTGCTAAAATTGTCTCCTATAATTATTTTCCAATTACAGTAGAGTTATATAATGAAATATTAAAATGGCAGACTTGTTAAAATACTTTTGAAATTTCCCCGACTTTCATATCTGTCACACCTGAATGACCTCGAACATACCGCGGCCGGGCTTAGCTAGTCCCCGTGTCTTGTTAAGTGGGTAAAACAGACTTTTTTAATATATAGTTGTCTGCTTTAACATGGCTCTTTAACTAATATAAAACATACGACGTAACTTACTACAACGTGCTTATCATTTTGATGTCAACAAAGTTAAAAAATAGGTCTAGCAGAGAAAATTATATATGTTTACTCTGAACAATATCATGATGAAAATGATTTTTATTTTCTGTAATTATTTCCTTTATTTACGTGAATACTACTCATGAAAGTACTAATAATTTTATGGATTTTATTGAGTTTAGACTTAGTTTTTACTTATTTTTTATTATTATAATGATGTTATTAAAAACAGATGTGATTACAATAAATATTTTGATTCAATTCTTTTCAAATACCCGTTTTATTGTACCTCAATATCAAGCTGCAGAGTGAAGAAAGGTTGCACAGCATCAGTGACGTCATGATGATGAGCGCGATGTAAGCGATGGCGTGTACGGCCTCTGAAGATATCAGCTACTGGAGTTCGACGCGCCGCCCAACGCCTTTCTACTGCCCCCCGATTTTTTGGTCCCATCACCTGTAACCAGAAATAAAAGTGAGGAATTTAAAGCATAATATGCTTATTATTGACTTTAAAATCAGTTATAAAATATTTTCAAAAACATTTACTATATTAAGAGGGCATATGCGTTTCGCGTCGAAAACTACATGTTTTATGGTTTTTCCAAAGGCAATATCGTAACGACGTGAGTGAGCAGATTATTTGCTGAAAATTAGGGCTTTAGAAAGATGAAGTCTTTATTTAGTACATAGCAATGCAAAATCATAGTTTTTAATGACGGTTTTTTAGGGCGAAGACAATCCCTTTACAGCGTTTTACGAAAATATGCATCAGAGTTATCATTCAGGTTGAATACAGCCATTATTATAAGCTTAAATACTTTATTTAAAGTGTATAGCAAGGAATCTAAAGTCTTTTACGTGTATATTATTTCGATTTAATATTATAAAATCACCAAAACTGTCTACTTCAATGTAATTTTTTCCATGTATTTGGTTATAAAAATATACACATATAATGTTATACAATACATGTAATGTTAAATATCCAAAAAAAATTTTAGCTTATTTTATTTTGTCAATTATTTTATATTATTATTTAAAAAATACTATAAACCATCATGCGCAGACGCCGTCAGTGTAGCCCGACTTTCTCGCTAGATCTAGCGGATTTTAACAATGTTTAGCGGATAAAAAAATCGTTTTAGCGAGAAATAATTATTTAGCGACTTCTAGCGACATTTGAACTTTTGAGATGGCGACTTTTTTTATGAAGTAATTCATTTCAAATAAGTAATTTATCATATGTCCAATTTTGTAATCTACCGTTGGTAGCACTCTATATATAATATAATTTCACGGGAATTCCCTAACATTAACAATGCAATGTCGTTAATTCACTTTCTTTGTTTCGACCTGAGACCATGTTCTAAGGTTTCGACATACATAAATGCAGCAGGAGTAAACATATTCGAAGATTTATGTAATTTTGCAATAGTAATATTATCACTACCGCACTCAAATGCAGAATTTGAACGCGTATTTGGTGCTACGAATGTAGTTAAAAGCAAACTGTGAAACAAGCAATCCGAAAAAACCTTTAAATTCCATCCGTCTAATTAGAAATCAGTTAAGGATTAAAAAAGAATTGCGCAACGTATGATATTCCCGAAGATCTTGTCAACCAAGTCGGTAAAGGTAAACCAAAGATGGGAACTGGAGACATTGGCGAAGCTTCAACTTCCGCTTAAGTTCTTTTTGAAGATCCAGACCCGAATAATAATTATAAAGCACAAAAGTAAAGTAAAGTTACAGTCACAATTTCTCACATTACTCACATACTGTGATATTTACTGTGAGCGTTGACCATCTGAGCTACCACGGCTCTCAATAAAGCACAAAAAAGGCTACAAAGAAACCTATATTTTGTAGTCATTGTAGTTGTCCATTTTTTGGATATGATAACCAAATCCCCGATTATTTTCTTCCTTGAATTTTAATGTACTATCCCCCCGACACTAATGAAATTGTTAGTTTGATGAATTATGTTTACATTATGAAACAGAACAAAAGTTTATCAAATGTTATATATTTTATACAATACATATTTTTCAATTAGAACATATACATATTATAATATACTCAATAGGGTGAAAATGTAAAGCCGACTTCAATTTACTAAAAGAATAAAACAATTTCCACTATTTGCCTCCGATTTCTATACACTATATAAGCCATTATATGGAAATTATTTTTTTATTATTTTAGTACCAATAGTATCAAAGACAGGTATAACAAAGATCAAATGATACGTCGTTAAGCAACTATTATAGCCTCACGCTCGCCCTGATACGCACACAGAGATAACATTGTAGTGTGCGTCAATATTAAGCCGTTGCAAAGCGATCGCGTAGATTTTTCGACTTGGACCACTGACCTCTATATATACAAGTACGCTGGACTGGCTATACCATACAAAATGACTGTGCCAATTTGAAGCGCCGCTAAAGGATGTCTTGAAAAATAAAATTGACATAATATGCCAAAGTATGTTGTCTTATTCATATTGTCATATTTAATAAGTCTGTATTTTGAACTTTTAAACTAAAAAACGAAAGTATTTTATGTTGTTTGATTGTGTATAATATTAGTTACATAATAAGAATTATTTTAATAATAATGAGAGGGTGCGTAATCTGTAAAACTCATTACCACAAGGGAAGTGGTGTAACATTTCACAAGTAAGTGAATTTGCAGTAAATATTAAACAAATTAAAACTATTTGATAATATAAGTACTTAGAAATTTGTTACTAATCTTAATATCATATACAAAAACATGTTTGGCTGTATATTACTGAGTTTTGATAAACAATAAAATTCAATAGGGTTGTCGAGTTCCGTGTCTATAATACTTATCGATGTTCTTTCCTACCCATATCTGTTAACAAACAAAGTCACCAACAACAGATGATTATCAAATGTTTATTAATTAAAAGGTTTCCAACTGAACCTAGACTAAAATTATGGCTTAAAATCATAAATATTGTGAATTGGCGTCCGAAACAAAATGATCATATTTGTTCCAAACATTTCACAGACGACTGTTTTATTAGACATGAGAACTGCACCACTTTGAAAAAGTGCAGTATACCGACAATATTTTCTGGTAGTACCAGTACCAAGCACTACCAACTACCAAGTACTATGTATTAGATTATTATTTCGAATGTTTTTTTTATTTCTTCTTTCCTCATTTTCCACCAAACTCAAGGGCCATAGCCAAGTGTCGAAAGGTCGCCTGATGATGTCGAACCACGTTCGATGTATGTTAGTGGGCTGCGGCTAGAGGAGATTTCTCTCCCTGTTCCGCTGCAGTCGAGGTGGATTCGTAAGGGAAGAGTGTTTGTATGGCGATTGGCGATACGCCACTCGACTGATTTTCGCGACTTTGGTGAGACTGCACCACTTGATGCTTCCAAGTGCTCGTTTTTCCCTGGCTTCATTCACGTATCGGGCTCGGTAATTGATAATTTCAGTTATTTTTTTAATATTGTAATTTTAATTTCGAAAATGTCGTTATAAATAACTGATAACTATGTAATTCAAAGTTTATATTTTTTATATTATCTTGCTAGCTCATACCCGGCGCATTGCTGCCGCAGAAGAAATAATTTTGGAAATATCGTTAAAAATGTGGAACAGTTATATTGTATAATTAGGAATTATAATACAATAATTGAAATAGAATGATATATAACTTTCTATAACTTTCAAATAAATAGTCAGTATAATATGCACGCCACCTAGTCTCAGTAAATGGTACCATGCGTGTAACCTTCGCACAAGTGCAACCAATAAGTTGACTAAGTTTTACCGCAATCTGATGAACGATGTGGCATCGTAGAAAGTACGAACAAACAAAAATTTTTATATAGTAGAAAATATTTTACTGTCAATAGACAGACCTGTAGTTGATTAGAATATGCGTTATTATAGCAGCTGATTTGTTTTTTATAATACGAAAACAAAATGAACGGTTGACAATAAATTATTCTAGAAATTATGTTTTTATTTTGTAGTACAAAACTAATCCAACTGTAGAGATGTGTAAGACAGGGTGACTTAATATTTCCGAAATACTTTACCGCTGCATTGGAAAACGTTTTCAACCTACCGGACTGGAAAGGATACGGTATTAACTTCAATGTCGTGAACGTCACTCACCTTCGATTTGCCGACAATATAGTCCTTATGACACAATCGCTGGAGGACCTACGCATTATGTTCAATGACCTCAATAGTGTCTCCCAACGGATAAGTCTTAAGATGAACATGGACAAAATATAAGTCATGTGTAATGTCCATGTCACACCTATGGCGGTGGTTTTTGGGAGCACTAAGCTGAAGTTGTTGATGAGAATTTTTATTGGGACAAATAGTCCGACTAGGTAGGTCCAACTTCGACCGAGAGGTCAATCGACGGATTCAACTCGGCTGGGCAGCGTTCGTGAGTGATGAAATATGGATCTGAGACGAGGTCTTTCATGACTGCTGGCCGTATGAGGAAGCTCGAAGTCGCTCAACGAGCTATGAAGAGGGCTATGCTCAGGGGTTCAAACTTAGGAATGAGGATATCTGCAGCAGAACCAGAGTGACCGACATCGTCCAATGGATTAGTAAACTGAAGCGGCATTTGACCGATCATATAGCTCGCAGAACCGAATACCGATGGGGAAAAAAGGTTCCTAAGTGGCAGCCTCGTACTGGCAGGTGAAGTGTAGGACGTTCCCCCGCTACATGGAGTCAAAACCTGGTAAGACATGCAGGAAGTTAATGGATGCAGGTAGCTCAGGACCGTGCTTTGTGGCATTCCTTGTGGGAGGCCTATGTTCAGCAGTGGATTTGTGAAGGGTTTTAATGATGATGAATGATAATAGTATTATATTCATATGATACATAAATAGAATGGACGTTACGGGTAGAGTCCATCTATCCATAGAGTCCATTCTATTTATTTAGGTATAGGTAGGGTATAGAATTTTATCGATATAATTTGGTACACTGTCTTATCATCCCTAGTATTAGTTCCGTGGACGTGCACTTCTGCAGTCAGCGCCAAAATGGCGGAAATCAAATCGCTTCACCATGTCACGGTGTATAGCCAGTCCAGCGTACTTGTATATATAGAGGTCAGTGACTTGGACATATTTGAATATGCGCTCTTAAGGTGACTCTAGTCGACATTATTTCCATAGAAATTTCGGAGGGGTTTTACTCCGCTGTTTGACAGTGTACATCCAAAGTTAAACATGATATCGTTTTGTCTCATTATTAATTTTGTCTGTACCGAAAAAGAATAGTAAAATAAAAAGTCAGTAAAAAGTTACGAGCTACCAAAGATTCGTTTTTATTGCCAATTTTAACACAACTTTGGGCGTAAATTAGTAATAAAAGCAGTGTAAAATTTCCAAAACAAAGTCGGTACCGACACAGCTCAATTATCGAAGAATTCAATAAATTTTATTGGTAATTGATTCATGCAGTGGGTTTTTCATAAAACCCCCTCCTTCCAAAGGCCTTTTCGTATTTTTTTACGCGCGCGTGTTTATATGAATTATCGTGCATCTCACTGAATAATTTTTCCCTCGGTGCGGTGCGGGAGGACGACACTTACACACACATGCATGCGCGGTGACGCGCGCTTATTCTAGTTTTATTCAACTCAGTCAGCTGCGGCCTGTGACGTTCGTATGATTATAGCTATACCTGCGCTCTAAATTACTACGCTACATTGACCCCTGCTTGAACTTTGGATTAAATCAAATTGATATAAGCACAGACAAAAATAGAGGAATATATAAATAAAATTTTGAAAAATAAACGATCTCAAAATTTTATTAATGTTCCGCTAATTTTATCTGTACTTACCTATGTCAATTTGATTTACATTCGATTATAATTATATTCTCAGACGTGCAGGTTTCCTCAATATGTTTTCCTTCACCGCCGAGCACGTGGTAAATCAGCACAATTGCAATTAACAATTTCATTGATACCGGCGGGGATCGAACTCGGGTCTGCATGTCTGAGAAATTAAAAAATATATATTTCGAAGAAATGTGAAGTTCGTCAACACGCATTGAGGCAGCGTGGCGGACATTTCCTTGCCCCTCTCAGAAATTAGAGGAGGCCTGTGCCCAGCAGTGGGACGTATATAGGCTGTAACTTTACTTTTTTTTACTTTTATAAATATGTTATTTTACCGACGAAAATTTTAAAGAAAAATAAAAAATAAGCAACCGACAACCTCCTAGGTCCCTAGGTGACTTGCGAGATGTCAGTGTAACAAAACAAAACGGCCCAGAAAAACAGACTTTCCAACTGATAGCTAAATCAGCACGCAACAATTTCATTGGTGCCAGTGGGGATCGAACCCGGGTTGCTCCCGTACTGTGATACCTATAACGAGCGCTAACCATGTGAGCTACCACGGCCCTCAACGACATCGTTCCGTTCGTGTACAGCGCTGAAGATAGCAGAGTAAAAAATTAGAGATTGTGGTGTTTGAAATTTTAAAAAATGTGTTTTTGTTACTAGTACTTTCATATGCATTTAATAAAAAGCTGTTATTTTAACATTACAAACAGACACTTAAATTTTATTTATTTGTAGATATAGATATAAGATATTATTCATATTGGTGTCATTTTAAAGGGAATATCATGTACTATTATAATAATAAAATAATTCTCTCCAGTAAATATTATGCTTTTCTTGTAAAACTCGAAATAACAAATAAATACGATTTCTTAAATTTACGCGAACACTACACATTGAATAAAACTATTATTCACGGGGGGACCATGGGCGCTGTAAAGCACCCGAAACGTCGGGATAATAATAAAAATAAATTAAAGTAATTAAACGCGATAAAATCCGTAAATAGTAATTTATTCAAATAAATACGATTTATTTTTATATTCCCATATGCTTTATTTTCATCCTTTATTTTTTATTTGACCAATTTTCTTTTAACAAAATTAAATTCTGAATTGGTTGAGCTTTTTGCGAATATTTTTATTTGAATGTTAGGTAGGTACCTATTTAGTTTTTCAGTAGTAATCGTTTTTGCCTACCTACTACTACCTGCCTAAGTACGTCGGTACTAAGGAAACAGTCTTGACGGGTCACTTGTCTTGATAAAAACATGTGTTTACATCTAGTGATATTGTGTGTATATAAAAAAAGTAAGAAGACAGGTAAGTATTTTTGAAAACAATTTATAAGTAGGCAGAACTAATTACAATTATTATCTAAATATTATAAATGCGAAAGTTTGGATGGATAGATGTATGTTACTCAATCACGCCAGAACAGCTGAAGGGATTTGGATGATATTTAGCTCAGAGATAGGTTATACCTGGTCTGGAATAACACATTTTTTGATACCGTTTATTCAGGTATTTCGTTCCTGTGGGATAATTTTCGAGTTCACGCGTTTGAAGCCGCTGGCAACAGCTAGTACGGATATAAATTGTGATGACTGTTCCAGTTCATTCTTCGGCGTCGTGAATTCTTGAGTGATCGCTGCATGACCACCCGGGGAAAACAAAACATAATAAAATAAGCAATCTATATTAGGTATCTATAGAGCCATAGAGGTATAGTATAAAGCGATAACGTAGCGCAGTGCCTAATAATTTTAAATTTAAATAATTTTTAGTACGAGTTTGTAGGTAGGTACTGCTGATTTCTTAGCAAGCGTCGAGCGGCACAGAATAGGGTGGTATGTATGTGTGCATCGTGTTCGTGTAACTTCGTTTTTGTTCTAACGGTTCGGAACGCCGTACGAACAAGACGTGCGTTCTAACTGCTCTTCACTGGTACTATCTCTGTCGGGCACGATGCCAGGTGAGACAACGTGCTTTTTGGCCGCGCCCACCAATGAGTTCGAGCCCGCGACTTGAGCCACCTTAAGGACGCGTTTACAAAATTGATAGGTATAGAATCGAACTACAACATTGACACGGGACACGCACACAAGTGTACGCACGGTTGGCCGCGGGAATCGTAGTCAAATAAAATTACTATTTTGATAATTTGAAAGATTGAATTTGATTTTCATTTTTTATACCTCAATAATATAATTATATAGAGTAATTAGATTTAGATAAATAACACATTTGTGGTTGGTCATATTTATTGACTTCTAAGTATCTTTTTCTCATTTATTTTACTTAAGGAAGTGTAATTTTAACAATAAAATAAACCACTCCTGGATGTAAGAATGCGAAAATGTTTGTGTACCTTCCATTCGTCATTGTCGTCGTCTTCTTCTGGAGGCTGTTCCTGAGTGACAACACCGTTTGGTCGGTTGTTAGCATCTTTGGGTTCTTCAGGCTCCACCAGTTTCATTAGCTGAAAGGAATTGTTTTGTTCTGTTAATAACAATTAAGATTAAGGGACTAATTGCCCAATGTGAAAAAATTATTCTTAGCACGTAAGTTAATATAGTATGTTATTATTTCTTATAGCTAACTTATAAATCTACTTAATTAAAAACTGACAAATAATAAAAATAACAATACCAAGCATATATAACCTTAAAACTAACTTGTTATAAAATTAAATGTAGCTTTTGTGTTACCGCTGGTAAAGTGTATGTAAGATTAATCGTATTTTTGTTAATAAATTTAATATTATTTTTTAACATTATAAAATGATTGCGATGACTTTTTGTACTTTTTGTATGACTGTGTCCAAAAAATGTACTTATACATTTAAAACTACAACGAAGACCAGTCCATGTTAAACTATGCTACATAGATATTTCTATATAATTACAGTAACATTGTAATAATATTCATAATACCATAATAAAGATAATGTTAATTCATACTACAATAATGGAGTACTACTGTCATATATGGGATGGTGCTGCAAAATGCCACCTGGCAGAGGTGGACTTAGTGCACAGACGTGCTAAGAGGCTCAGCCTCGAGCACAGACGCAGAGTAGTCAGTCTCTCGGTATTTTATGGGACGCATTTCGGAGTGTGCGCAGGAATTGCACGCTTTAATTCCTCCCTCTTCTTTCCACCATCGGACGACCAGGCGATTGGAATAAGTGGATTTTTATATCAACATCATCATTAAAGCCCTTCACATTTCCACAAAGCATTTTTGTGGAATTGTGTCTAGACTTTGTGTATGTAGAGCAAAGGACTGGAATAATTTGCCGGCGTCTATCTTTCCGTCTTCAAGGCAAGAGTGAATAGGCATTTGTTACGCTAAGACAGTGCGATTTACCATCTAAGGCTGCATCACCACTAAACCATTTGGTGGGATTGCGGTCAAGCACTGGTTTATAAAAAATAAAAAAAGAATGTACCTCAAGCATTTCATCATTAAGAGAGTTGAGCAAGCAGCCAAGGAATTCCTCTGCATCTTCCTGTCTGCCCTCTTGCGAGCCAGGGAAGGGGCGAAGCGCCCGCAATACGCGCAGGCCCGCGCCGCCGTCCAGCGGCGGGCCAGCCGGCACTACGGGTGCCACACCGCCACCCGCCCCCGCGCCTGCGCCCGCCCGCCGCGCCGCGCTGCTCAGCGGCCCGAACTCGTAGCATAACTCTACCCTGAAACAATCACATCATGGCCACATGTTGATTCAGCTCTTAACTTACGTTTGTCGTCCCTTTTGTGACCTAAAATTCGTTTAGAAACAAAATAAAAATTTATTCTTAAACGAATTTTAAATTTTTCATGTCAATAGATTAGGACTTTATCCTCAATATTATCAGTGTGTGCTCGTAAAAAGTAATAAAGTACTGGCAGTATTGCAGTAAGCAGAATTGTTTTACTCATTATAAGCCTTTGCTTAACTACAGTCTCATCTGGTGAAAAGTGCTGAAGCCCTTTCCATCGCGCACTATCTCGTATCTTATACTGACTTACCATAACAAAAGCCGAATAGTAACCGAACGGAAAGATAACGCCGTAAAATTACTGTATGTATTACCAAAGACGAAGAAAACAGTTTGAGTAGAATGCGTGTAATATCGACAAGATGTGAAAACTGCCTGGTTACCGGATGACCAATTGAAAGAGACGGGAGGTATAAGGGCATGTAAATCCTGCACATATTCTTTAAAATTCATCCTATAGAATACTGAGAGGCTACTTTGCGCCTCTGCTCAAGGCTTACATTATTGGTTTTAACAAAAGTATATTTTAACAAAAGTTTTTCGTGTTATAAGTAATATCGTTTTTGGTATGTTGAACTATTTCTTCTTAATGATTGTTAAACACTCTTGTAAACACAAAAGAACTTAAGCTCAATATAATAGTTTATTTTTGGTTATCATACATACACTTTACATATAATTAAAATTGTATGTAAGCGTAAGCCAATATCATTAAAATTGTATGTAAGTGTACACATAAGTGCACATAAATAACCATTTTTAAAATTCTTGTCTGTCTATCTATAATCTATATGTCATGGCTAAACTTCGAAATGGCTGAACTAATTGTGATAAAACTGCAGAAACAGATAGGGAGCAATGCCAGATAAATATAAAAGTTTGGAACAAAAAAACTTTTTAGGTTTGTACTTGCATAAAACCCCTAATAAAACTTTCCTTTCTATCTCTTTTTTTTATAGGATGGGGTAACAAACGAGCACACAGTCCATCTGGTGGTAAGTGGTTGCTGTGGCCCAGAGACATCTACATCTATCCTCGATTAGGAATCAAAATGCAGGTGAGGACTTAGATGGAATGCCTTGTCTCCAGTAAAAAGGATCTTCGGTTCTCTACACTCACCATATAAAACATAGCAGCATTAAGCTACTATTCTGTGAGAGCGTGGTCCTTCTCCGGTCGGGCCGACCCAATCGTGCTAGAACTATACTACTAATATAACTGTAGCATGGCTCTACCACTTTCAAAAATTTCTCTTAAAATTTTGATACAAAATTTGTTCACCATTTTTTTTACTTCAACATTTTACAATAGAATTTTATGAGTGATATAGGTAACGTGACCAGACGTCCCGTTTTAAACGGGACTGTCCCTTTTTATAGTTACGAGTCGCGGTGTCCCCGAAATGAACTATGGGACGCAAAATTGTCCCGTTTTTCTGAAACGGTGTGAAAATTTGTATTTTGTTACTAAAATACTTTTTTGAAGATCTCACATCCGAATGATGGCTTTATTCTTTACACGCTAAGTCAACAAGTTTTCATCAAGCTGTAAAAACTTGAAGTTCAGAATGTATCGGCTATTGAAGCTGCAAAAAATCAATCAACTAAAATACAATTTGACTCAGAAACAGACCAATCAGTTTCTTTCATTTACGGTCCCTCAATTAGTGAAATCGAAAGATAATGATACTGACATAGATGAGTAATTGGTGAAAAGGGCGGCTACAGAATTTTATGAAACAAACCGTAAATATCTGGAGCAGTGGACTTGCTTTCTTACCAAATAAATGGAGATATTTTGTTGGGCAGATTTAAAAAAAAGTTCCGCATGGGAAAACGTTCAAAAATCTCTGGATTTATTAATTGAAAAGGAATATATTGACTGTAATAAAGATGCAGAAGTTTTGACGAATTACAACTTTCAGTTCTAAAGGCGATGTTGATAATTTAGGTGAATATAAAAAAGGTGCACAAGAGTTTCATTCTTACTTAATATCACCACCAGCAAAGCAAATATGTTCCTGTGAGAAATATAAATTTTATTAATATAAGTTAAAAATAATATAAATTAGAAATATAAACTGCCGACAGACTCTCTGTTAATTGACCTAAATAAACCAATGTCCCGTTTTGAATCAAAAAATAAATGGTCACGTTAGTTATAGGTGACCTTTTTTTTACGTGAAATTCAATTGCACATAGTTTTCAGGATAGCTACTACTCAATGACAGAGTTTAAAGTGGGTTTTTCGATATTTTAACTACTTGCTCAACGACGAGGTGCAGATAAAAACTAATAGGAAATAAAAGATAAATGAAATATGATATGTTCTAATAAGACAATATTGTGAGAATTGACACTAAAATATATTTTGGGGTTAAAGTTGTCATAACCACAAATTATTTCTAATGTTCTGCAAAAGCAGTGTTATAATATACTCAAATCTACAATGAAGCAGAGAGGCACATTCTTCAAGTGTCTACAGATGCAATATTTGATATTAATTATTAATTTTTTTAACTTACATAGAGTCAATAACAGGAGTGCTTGATTTTCCACGACGAGTCTGGTACGGAAGTGCCTTTAACATGTTGTAAAAAGGCGGGCATGCGATTAATGCTTGCAAAATGGCGTTCACATAGCAATAGTTTGATCGGTTTGTGAGCCCACGGGGAAGAAGTGATACTGGCCTGTTGTCCAATTGATATTTTGTTAGAAATTCTGAAAATGAAAAAAATATTATATTACTAACCTTTCTTACACTTTTTTCTATTTCAAATTTATTACTGGAAAGCGTTAAAGTAACAGCTAAATTGCAAATTACATACTCAGGTTATATATGTGCACCAAAAATTTTTAAGTTTAGTTTTTTTTAAGCTTTGTAAGCTATTATTGAAAAAAAAAAATAGTCCCACTGGGTTTCCTGCTGGTTCTTCCCAGGACAGAGGATTTTTTTGCGAACCAGTTGTAAATGAAAAAAGTGACTTTCAATAAGTATTGTTATAATCTACATTCAATAAAAAAGTTTCTAATAAAAAAAAAATATAAATTTCTTTGCAACTTTGAGGATTTTTTTTATTTTTTATTATAATGGATTTCCGCAAAGTAACGCCTGATTCTATCAATTATCTAAAAAATTTTCTGTTTCTGTTTTCTTATAACGATTTAAACAAATATTTACCTCCCATCCTGTATGAGTTAGGATCGTCACTGAATGGCGATGGTTGAATAGGCACCGCAGGTGATGGATCTTTCTGGACCGGTACTTGCACTTCTGTAGTCGCGGGTGTGGTGCTCGGTTTCATAGGAGCCGAAGAGTTAGCAGTATTACTGACAGCATTAACTGAAGTCTTCTCTGAATATGAGATAGTTGGAGTCATAGTTGTCACTGGTTTTGGCGTAGGCGAAGACTTATCGATCACGGCATTTTGTAGTGGCGACGCATCAAATGGAGGCACTTTAGCAATTGGTTTTTGCACATTGCATGGAACTGGCGGCGTGGTTATAGTCGGACTCGAAGGTTCTTCAATAGGGACTGTTGTAGGCGGAGACGCTGTTATAGTTGTACTTTTGTTAGAGAACAGACTTGCCCACGATTTACCAGGGGCAGGTGGGGGATTAGGTTGAACAACTGCTGGAGTTGGTTCACCTCTGTTCCGTGGTGTGGGGGGGTGGGGGGAAATCTGATGCGGTCGGAGCAGGCGGAGGGGGGCTGGGGCACCGGTGGTGGTTCGGGAATGGCGGCTACTTTCCTAGAGTGTCCAAATGGAGACTTATTAGTGACTATAAGTGGTGGACCTTGAGAATGCAGGGTGATGGAAATCGGCATCGGCGCTTTACTTGGTGGTAAAGGTGGCTCGCGTTTTGGGTGCTGTTCAGTATTTATTTTGTCACCTTCAGTGTTATCATTAGATGGTGAACGGTTTATTCCCTCTCGCTTTTGTCTGTTTCCAAATGGAACTTTAGTTGTAGAGACAGATTGAACTGGCACAGCTGTCTGAGGTAATGATTGTTTTGGTGGTTGTTTGCCACCAGAAAAAGGCGCTGCGGGTCCTTTGGGCGTTTTTCCAACGACAGGTGGTGCTTTGTTGTTAGTGGTTTGACCATTTGAAGCAGGTGGAAAAGTCTTAGGGGTGTTTTGCGTTTGATTATTGACCTCTGCTGCTTTATTTTCATTGAGCGACCATGCAGGTTTTGTAGGATCTGTTTTTAGTGTTGGTGAAACCTTATCATTTGAAGGAGTTTTTGGTTGATGTGAGTCTGCAGGGCGTTCATTTTGTTTGGGACTACTTGGACCCTTACTGCTTAGTTTGAGATCTTTCATAGGAAGTGATTCAACCGATCCTGTAGTGGCACTCGCGGACGCAGATGCCGTAGCTGCAGCATTCTTTTCCGTTTTATCCGGAGGTGTGTAGTTTTTCGTATGGTTTTGGCCTTGAACAAAGTTCTTCGCATGCACGTTGAATTGATGGGGAGTTGACTGCTGGGGTAGTTGCTGTGGTATTGGAATCGGCCCCGGATGTGGAGGCGGCGGTAAATACATAGGTGGCATGTATTCGACGCCCCCTTCTACTGGAGGTCCATATGGCGGGCCAGCGTAATGTGCACTAGCGTAATATGCATCCACTGCTTCTTGTTCCATGACAACCTCTTGCTGATACTCATCGGGGCCCTTTTCACCAGCATCGCCTTCAACCGGTATGGGGTATTCAGGATAGTACGGTGGATAAGCATACGGACCGTAGACTAGTGGTTGATACATCGGTAGATGGTACAAAGGTGCACCCTGCGCTTGCGCCGCTGGATAGTACTGCGGGTATTGAACGTAATACGGTGGCGGCTGTGGCGGAGGCGATGGTGCTCTTTTGCCACGTCTCTCTCGTCTGTGGTTGCGAGGCGGCCTTTCGACTTGCGGCGGCGGTGGCACGTACTGATGCTGGGGCGGCTGGTAGTACTGTCCCATGTAACCGTGTACGTTGACATTGGCGGTGACCTGGCTGACGTAGACGTTGGGGGGTGCGACCGGCCACTGCGGGGGTGGAGGGTAGGTTGGAGGGGGCTGCACGTAGGGCGGCGGCGGGGCGTGCGCCGGGGCGGGGGGCGGCGGTCCGGCCGCGCCCCGTGGCGGCGAGGGGGGCGCCATCTCGCACTCGCCGCCCGACAGACTATCCAGGCTGCTCGACACGGTCGGTGGGCCCGCTGTGCTTGATGAACACGATGAAAAATCTAATCGAGGAAAAACACTATTTTAGATTACAGACCAAATATCGTAAGAGATTTATTTTAATATAAATAGAAGTAAGGGTGAATCTATGCGATGGTAAATTGATTCTGTACACAAAAATGCAGATGCATAGCCATCCCTGAGGACTAAAGAGAATGTCTCGTCTGAAGAAGAATACACCCTAATAGTGAGTGGCACCTGTAGCAAACTTTTAAATAATTCAAGTAGGTAATTTTTTAACTAGTTTGAAAGGTAGTTGATATAAAATATATTTTACTACCTACTACCTTTCAAACTAGTTACAAAACAAGATAGTATCAAGTTTTTATTATGTTATCTACTTCCGGTTCTTGGTTCGCTATCTTATCGAATAATTAAGTGCCGAGTAATTAATTAAATAGTTATTGTCATTTGTTGGATTTATAAAATAATTTAAGAAGAATAAATAAATGACAATTAAATAATAACAATTGACGCCGTAAGCTTGTCAGAACCTAACATTGACGTTTTGAATTGTATGTAAAGGTCGGCTATAACACTACTATATATAACTATAGACCAGTCAGTTGTCTTATAACCGCCAATAAGTGAACAAGTGCAAAAGGGTAGCAGCGGTGGCTCTGCTAGTCTGCTGTATGAAGCCGAAAGGTTAAAGCTGAGCTAAGGCTAAGCCAAGTAACCTATTTTTTAGGGTCAGAATATTTACGCAAGTAACTTATGTATTTTGTTATTACACTATAACTTTTAAATGTTAATACCTTGTTGTTATCTGTGTATTTAATAATTGAAGAAAATAATATACAACTGACGGCCGACAGGCAGAAAGACACACAGAAATTTTTATAAAAATATTTGTTTATGTCTTCTTAATGGCATGCAACTAACCCCTTCAGATCAATAAAAGGCATGGCAAAATAAAGTATGGTCAAGGGTATCTGTAAAACGGAAAATAATGAAAAAAAAACAAAAGTACAATATTAAAAGTATTTTTTATAGATGAGGATGACGAGCACACAGCACATCTGATGATAAATGGATGATGTGGTGCACAGACTTCTACATCTATCCTCAAAGTTTATACAAATATATTATGGGTTGACTGCCTCGTTGGTATAGTGGTCGTAAATGCGAATGCTGATCGTGAGCTCCCGGGTTCGAAACTGGGACGGGCCAAAAATTAGTTATTCGGTTTATTTGTCACGAAATACTCAGTATCAAGCCCGGAGTCAGGAAGGTGGCACGGTTTCAACCCCGTGCACGTATGAGAGTGAGGGAATTGTGTGCACCTGTGCCTGTGAATACACTTGGGCACTATAACCCTTTCTGCGCAGATGGCTAGTCTCCGTTGAGATCGGCTGCCGTGACCGAAATTCAGTTCTGAAATCTATACAAATAAATAAAATTAAAGTGTCCGTTTGAAATGTCAAAACAATAGTTTTTTAACTAAATAAATGCATAATAAAGGATATACGGTACTAATAACAAACAATAATTTTTAAACTTTTTGTGTGCCTGTCTCTATTTGTTCTGGCTAATCTCCGAAAGGGCTGGACCATTTTTGACGGGACATTTACTGGCAGATAGCTGATGTTATAATGAGTAACCTAGGCTACGTTTATTTCAGAAAAATAATTAAGTTTCCGCGCAAAAAAAAATTAAAACTTAATTATATAAATTAACGCGGCGTGTCGTGGGTGATATTACAAATATAGTATACAATATGATAATATGGTTAGTTAAAAATTAAAATATGTGAAGATAACTAACCTGTTACAGGCTCTGTCCAACTTAAAGCAGTAGATGTGGGCACGGTGCTGTCAGGATTCCTCTCAAATAGTGCACACTGCAAACTGCTAAGCTCCGCCTCTTTCACATCTGATAAGTCTAGGAACTCATATTCCTGAAACACGCCACCATAATTTAGCAGGGCTCTAATTTATCTTCTACCTTTCATATTCATTCCGTGAACAACCCTTACAACCTCACAGCATACACTCAAAGTTTTTGTTTTACATATAGTTAAAGTGATTCAGATTGTTAAGACACTGAAAAAAAAACTATAAGCCCTTAATACCAACTAATTACGTTTTGCAATAAGACCGATATAATTTCGAGCCTTAGAAAATTCTTTAAAACTTGTAACTAGACAAGAGTTAAGTTGTAAATATCACGTCTATTCACAACTTAATCCAGCCATCTTCTCTATTGAAATAAGGATGTTTTATGATTTCAATAGCTTCTGTGCTACCATCTGCTTGTGATCCTATAATTAATAAAATTTAATTCAAACCCAAGCATACAACTGTAAGATTTCAAGGTACTTGTAATTTTAATCTGGAGGTAGCCAGCCGTGGTTAACTATGACATTGGGACGTCGAATACCTCAGTCCCCCGTTACCATGGGTAAAATGCTCGAAACGTCGGGAATATAATATTAAGTGGTAAAATTAAAGTTTGTACAACCGACTACTTTTGATCAACACAACTTGAATCAATATAAATATAATGAAAACATTATCAATGTAGACGAAGTAAATTAAATACGCATTTATTTTCTCCCAAATTTTTTTGGGATCGTGAGTCCTTAGGTAAATGCTCAAAAGTTGCCAAAAGAGTATTTGCAAAACATTTAATATTTGATGCTACAACATATTTTAGAATTTCTGTTCTTAAGTATCACAGCTCATAAAAAATCTTGAAATTTTTCTTGCAGTACGAGCCTTGCTACTAAGTATTTGTAGTTACTAAATTTGAGAATTTATATGATGGATGAATTCTATTGTAATTTTTTTTAATGTAACTTGCTATGTAACAATCAGAATAAATTCTTAAGAACGAGAATTTACTTGGATATATTCACAATAATTTAATTTATTTAATATGATATAAGTTTTAATTGGGAATTCTGTATAACTACATAAATTTCAAAATTATGAGCTGTAGGTATAGATAGTATTATTAATATTAAAAATTTATAAAAAATATTTAAATCGTACACGATTATAAATTGTTACATACACTCACCGGCACGGAAACTTGGCCAAGCGGTTATCTCGCGATAGCAAAAGCTTTAAGTGTTTCTGATGAATGTTTGTTATGCAAGTATGTCAAAAAATGTTTACCCTCAAGTTCAAGAGGGTAATTCATTATGTTTAAGTGCACCATGACGAATTCTTTAATTTTTAGTTGAATCGGGTCATTTGAGCGACTAAGTTCACATTTTAAATTTGTGTGTTGTGAAAAGTTTACTGTAAGGTTATTCAATTATTGTGATCTTGTGTCTTAATTAAATAACTAAAGGTGCTTTAAAGCCAATAAAAATGCCATTAACACCAGCACAAGTTGCACAAGCAGTAGCATTAATTGACCAAGGGCTGACACAGCGTGAAGTTGCTATTGTGCTTAACGTACCACGGTCCTCAATGCAGTATTCACTGAAACGATACCAGGAGACAGGCCGCTACACCCGCAAGCCAGGCAGTGGGGGCGTAAGGTGCACATCGGCCCGGGACGATCGTTTTATTGTTATGGAGATTTTGAGAAACCGCTACCTGACCGCTGTTGAGATACGCCAGCGGCTCCAAATCGCAAGAGGCGTTAATGTTAGTGAGCGTACGGTGAGAAGACGAATGGAGGAAGTGAATTTAAAAGCTCGTAGACCAGCACGAGGTCCAGAACTTCTCAGACAGCACCGAGTAGCCCGACTTCAGTTCGCAAGAGAACATGTCAATTGGACCCACGAGCAATGGGCTAGAGTGTTGTTCACAGATGAGTGTCGAATAGCTTTACGTGCTCCAGACGGTCGAGAACGAGTGTGGAGAAAAAGAGGAGAGAGGTTTCTACCCATTACCACCACCCAAACTGTGAGTTTCCATGGAGGCTCAATAATGATATGGGGAGGTGTAAGTTTCGACGCACGTACAGAGTTGGTCATCGTCGATAATCGGCTTACAGCTACTCGATACATCGAGGAAGTTCTTCAGGAGCACGTAATGCCTTATTCGGGATTCATTGGACACGACCAATTCCTCCTCATGCACGATAATGCACGCCCGCACGTCGCACATTGTGTAGAGGAATATCTGGAAGAGGTTGGAATACAAAAATTACAGTGGCCAGCTCGTAGCCCAGACTTAAATCCAATTGAGCATGTATGGGGTATGTTCAAAAGAAAGATAAAGTCCAGCTCCAAACCGCCACAAACTCTAAATGAGCTCCGAAATGCAGCGCTGGCCGCTTGGGACAGCATTCAAAGCATGCCAGATCGAATGCAAGCGGTTATCAGGGCTAGAGGAGGAAACACCCGATATTAAAACTGATAGACAATAAAGAAACAGACTTAATTTTTAACTTTGTAGTGTTTTTAAAGTGACAATGGAAAGATGTTAATTTTAGTGAAAACATGTTATCTTGAAAAGAAAAATTTCGGTGAAGTAAACATTAAATTTCTATGTTCTAAAACCATTAGAGACACTTATTGAATGCATCTACCCTTAATTTACTGTTAAAAAAACGTTTCAGTGCAAATAATCAGCAAATTCACGAGTGGCCAAGTTTCCGTGCCGGTGAGTGTATTATGCTAACGGTATGATGAAGTCCATAATTCTATCTCATTCCGAGCGAGGGTGTCGTATAACAAGCAACTTAAGAAAATTACTCGTAACTTGTAACCATCGACAGCATGCAGTTTAACAATCCTGTTCATACTAGATGTAAAACAAAGGTGACGAAGAGTAACGTCAAAGGTGCTTTAAGTAAGATACTGCGATCGCCAAGCTTGCCAAGCGTGGCGATTATAACAAACCCACAACGACAACGAGAGAGAACTGAGTATGTGCTCAGTAGTAAATTGTTCAGGGACTGGTAAGATGACGTAACTCGTAATTGAATAAGACTATTTATTTATACAAAAAGTTCGATACAAATAACGGAAATTAGCTCTCTTCAAATTATTAAAAAACGGGAAAACATTGATTCACATACCATAAAAAAATAGATCGTCTCAAATATCTTGGACCTGTACCGTATCCGGAGAAAAAGTAATCCTGTGTCCGGGAAGGTCTGTCTTTCGGACTTGAGCTAAATGAAAAAAGTTATGAAAGTAATTTGGGACCCCGAAATGCAAAATCTAAAGGCGGGGGGGGGGGGGGGTCACACGTCAAAAAGAGCACTCAGTCCATGGTAAGTGGATACTATAGAGAACACAGGCACCCACGTCAATAAATATAAATATTGAGGTGAAGTGGGCGCCGAAAGCAGATTTTTCACGCTTTATAGGTGCGACTGGCAGGACTGTTTGATCGGCCCGCGCGCTATTTAATCTTACAATATTTATTTGATAATTTGTTTTTAAAATTATATACTCTTTTACTGAAAAATAAACCCATAATTCACTCACGTATTTACTGGTGAACACATAGCCTGAATTTAATTGAAATTGATTTCATTACATTCGAATGAAACTGCTTTTTCACTTAGTGGACGTACATAAAATTATAGAAAGATTTGCGATATTTTTCTATCGAGCCTAAATGTGTCAAATCTGCTTTTGGCGCCCACGTCACCTTAATATAAAACCCGAAAATTAAGAATGGACAGCCTTGTTGCAGGTTAACAGTCTCAGGGTCTCGCCACTAAACCATACGAAATACAGTAACATTATGCAGCTATTTTAAGCTGGTATTGTGTTTGGGAGGGCTTCTTTCGGTCACATTTGAGTTGTGCTTCTGCAATAATGTATCCTTAATGAGCACATTCGCGAATGCTAAACGACATAATTATTGACGCAATAGCTAGAGATGCGCCGAGTAGCACTTTTGCCGAGTAACGAGTGCCGAGTTTTACTCGGTTCAATTTTTTTCCAACCGAGTTCTCGGCCGAAGTAACTCGGTTCAACCAAATTCCCGTTTCGGGCGCGTAAACAAGTACAAACAATAGAGCGCGATGATCCTAAAAGCCCGATTGCTTTAGAATTAGATCGCTACTTAAAAGGAAATTTGTTGACAAAAGACAAGAGTCCTTTCAAGTGGTGAGCAGGGCACCAAAGAAGGTATCCAGAACTGGCACGTTTAGCACGAGTGTTTCTATGTGCACCTGTGTACAGCGAGCAATTATTTTCGGAGGCTGGTAACGTCTCTGAAGAAAAAGGAATAGGCCGTTTCCAGAATGTGCAGAGAGCCTTGTGTTCCTGCGTCATAATTTACCTTAATTAAATTTTAAATATTGATTGGTTTCATTAAACCTTTTCGTAATTTTGTCTCATCGAGATTCATTGAGATTGTTATAGATGTCCCAAATAATTACTAATTTGGGACATCTATAACAAATTTTTATATAAATTATAATACATTTTTGAATAACACTGTTGTTTTAATTACATCGATCTACCAAAATATATTGCTTTATTTAAACCGAATATACTCGGCATTACAACCGAGTTATTCGGCCGAGTACAAGAATGAAAAAAAAAAAAACCGCCGAGTACGCCGAGTACCGAGTTTTAACCGAGTACTCGGCCTATCACTACGCAATACTATATCAGAATCTATAAAAACTTTATGGCATTTTCCGTACAACACGAAATTGGGGCATGAACGCCGCCAAAAAAACCGCAATCGGATGGTTAACAAAATTACGCATTGCTACAAGTAGTTGGTAGTATCTAGAAACGTGCTATATTTTCGAATTTAAGTTAAATTAGATTTGTAGTCTTTAAAAACATACAATTATAACAAGTATTTGGCTCTATGTATATATTATAAGCTGTGACGTCATTACACTATATTCTCATACTTTCTATTGTAATGTTTCTGACAGCTCCCAAAAGTATACATGCCAATTGACTAAAGCGTCATATTACCCAATTGTGAACGTGAAGTCAATGCCCCCTTACTACCTACTTTAGCCTAATCCAACAACGCGGCAGATACTGAGGAGGTGAGGAGTAATTGATATCTAAAATTGAACTCTTTCAAAATCAAGATATCTCAATGCAAATCACGTGCAATTCAAACTCACGCGTTATCAATGCAAACTTGTCTAACGATTGTAGCTTGTGCTGCGATGAGTTTTAGGCGCAAAAAAAAATACACGGAGTTTTCTGTTCCGTGGTTGTTATTCTAAATGCGCACTGACAAATACAAATACTGTCAATTTTTTTTTAGTAGATTTTTATACACATAACTTGTTTTTCAATTATGCTAGATTTATCGATAAAATGGGTTCTTTCCGTAAAAAATTAATTTAACGAGAAAATGATCCTGATAGCCTTAGTTTCGGTAGGCGAAGTGTAGGGCGTCCATCCAATAGATGGAGCGACACCATGTAAGACATGCAGGAAGTCGATGGATGCAGGTGTTAAAAACCGTGTATTACGGCATTCCTTGGGAAAGCCTATATCTTAAAACGGTGAACTTTTAAACTTTTAAAGGGCTGTAATGACGACGATGTCCTGGACAAATTCTCCGGCTAATAAAGACTAAAATATTAAGTTTAATACAGCACTTATGTATCTTTAAATTTGACAATCTATAGTATGGGAGCAGGTTACCATACATAAATTGCACAGGAACAAGCATCCCGACCCGGAAGAATCATTTGTAGGCAATTATCTTAAGACTGCGGGTTTGAATCCCGCACGAAGTTCAAACCAGCAACTTTCAACGATACGGCGATAGGTTTCCGCCAAAATATGTCTGATGATACTAAAATGTTGTGGAACTTAGCCTTTCAGTTAAAAGCCTAGCGTTTTTACTAAACGGCGCCGTATAACTAGCGGCTTGAATGATATCTAGTCGATGCGTCAATACATTGCAACTATGTTGTAATGACAGTAAGTTAAGGTACTCTAAAGCAGCGTATATTTATTTATTCATATATTTCATATTAGACCGGGAGCTGGTGACAGGTGACGTTCCACGATTTTCTCGTGGAGGCATTTTTAAGGCTTGATAACTAACCCTAAAATATCAAAGATTGTCGGGGCTTTAGCCCCCCCCCCCCCGCGCGTCCTCTTCATAAGGAAAAGCGCTTTTCTTTGTGTAGCGAATTTTCGTGTTTTCCCGTGATAGTATACTGCATGCTATTGTAATATACGGAAGTTCAAGCAAATTGAAGCTCTAATAATCGATGGCATGCACCCCGCAGCGGCTCAAGATGATCAAAGGATTCTGAAAACCTGAAAAAAATTAAAGGGCAATTCCGTGTTTTCAAATTGCATGCCGATGTAAAGAATGGAAGTTTTTGTAATAAAAACACTCTGGAAAAATTGGCATGAACCCCTCGTATGACCATGGCATGCAGTTTGGAATCACGGAAAATCGGAGTTCAATTTTTACAGTTTTCCGGAAATTTTCCACCGTTGGTCATACGAGGGGTGCATGCCAATTTTGCCAGTGTTTTTATTACAAAAACTTCCATTCTTTACATCGACATGCAATTTGAAAACACGGAATTGCCTTTATATTTGTTCAGGTTTTCAGAACCCTTTGATTATCTTGGGCCGCTGCGGGGTGCATGCCATCAATTATTAGAGCTTCAATTTGCTTGAACTTCCGTATATTACAATGGCATGCAGTATGCTATCACGGAAAAACACGAAAATTCACTACACAAAGAAAAGCGCTTTTCCTTATGAAGAGGACGCGCGGGGGGGGCTAAAGCCCCGACAATCTTTGATATTTTAGGGTTAGTTGTCAAGCCTTAAAAATGCATGCATGAGAAAATCGTGGAACGTCACCTGTCACCAGCTCCCGGTCTACATTTACATATTTTATATTTGACTGAATAAATGTCTTTCTTTCTTAATATAGCACAAAGTGCATAATTAGGCATGAAATATTCTAATTAGATCTGCTGAAACATAATACATAACATACATAAACACTCACGCCTGTCACCCAGAGGGGTAGGCAGAGACTACAGACTTCCATTTAGCACGATCCTGACATACCTTTCTCGCCTCTTCCACATCCATATACCTACGCACACATGCTCGTCGGTTAAGGGTACTCTTAATTTGGCCTATTTTTAGTATATCGCCAATTTGGTCGACAAACTTCCGCCTAGGACGTCCCTTTCCGACTCTTCCATTCACTTCTGCAACATATATTTGCTTTGTCAGTCTTTCCGCATTCATTCTTTCTACATGACCAAACCACCGAAGCATTCCTTTCTTAATCCTGGTCACCGCATCATCTTACAAACCACACTCTTCTTTTATCACACAGTTTCTCACCCTGTCACTCAGATTCAGCCCTAACATACTCCTTAGCGACCGCATTTCTACTGCATTTATTCTACTCTCGTGCTTCTTCTGCCACACGCAACTTTCACTACCATACGTTAAAGTAGGGACTAATACAGCACTGTGAATTGCCATACGTGCCTTTTTTGACACATTCTGACTTTTCACAATAGAGTGTAGAGCCCCATTTACTTTATTTCCTGCATTCACTCGTCGTTCAATATCCTTATCATATCTGCTGAAACGCATGGGCTAAATATCATTCAAGCCGTTCTAGTAAAACGGCGCACTTTAGTAAAAAGGCTAGGCTGTTAACTGAAAGGCTAATTAAGCTAGTTGGCTGTGAGCTGTGACACATATATTAGTAAGGTAAAAAGTTGATTTGTTATATTATATACCTTTTATATGGTTATATTAGCAATCCAAAATCTCAGGTTGTATACAATCCTGTGTAACCGTGGTAGTTCAGATGGTTAGCGCTCGCTGTAAAGTAGTAACAGCAGTACGCGAGCAACGCGGGTTCAATCCCCGCCGACACCAATAAAATTGTTAATTGTAAATTTGCAATTTAAAGTCCTGATTTACCACGTGCTAGGCGGTGTAGGAGATATAAAGTGTCATTCATGAATGATTCGTTCTTTTGAGATGGTACACTTAAAAGTATTGATGATTAATTCTTATGTTTCTCAATGTTCCCGTACAACCAACCACAAACAATTGACGGAACTTTTTTTAACTCGTG